TGGTGTTGGAGAAGACTCTTGAGAGTCCCTTGGACTGCAAGGAGATCCAACCAGTCCATCCTAAAGGAGATCAGTCCTGGGTGTTCATTGGAAGGACTGATGTTGAAGCTGAAACTCCAATACTTTGGCCACCTCATGCGAAGAGTTGACTCATTGGAAAAGACCCTGATGCTAAGAGGGATTGGGGGTAGAAGGAGAAGGGGATGACAGAGGATGAGATGGCTGAATGGCATCACCGACTTGATGGGCAAGAGTTCTAGTAAACTCCGGGAGTTGGTGATGGACAGGGAGGCCTGGCATGCTGCGATTCATGGGGTCGCAAAAAGTCAGACACGACTGAACGACTGAACTGACTGAACTGACTGACTGACGAACTCCAATACTGGGTAAGTCCACTGATGTGCACATGGGAAATCTTCCTATTTGTGAGTGCTAGTGGGCATTCTTGCTAATTGGTTCTGGTGTCTCTCTGCCACTGAGGATAATTTGTTAATGCTATTTGGGCATTCTTGCTAGTTAATTCTGATGTGTGTCTGATGTTGAGGACCGTTTATGAGTCATGGGGTCGCGAAGAGTCGGACATGACTGAGCGACTTCACTTTCACTTTTCACTTTTATGCATTGGAGAAGGAAATGGCAACGCACTGCAGTGTTCTTGCCTGGAGAATCCCAGGGATAGGGTCGCACAGAGTCAGACACGACTGAAGCAACTTAGCAGTAGCAGCAGTATGAGCCCTGACTGCTATTTGGGCATTCTTGCCAGTGCCAATTTGCAGTTGATAGTGTATATATTAAATGGTAATATTCAATAAGAATTTTAAAATTTATTTTACTTTCACAACATTGTCCTTTATGTCAGTGTGTATGAGCTTGGTGAAAAACAAACAAGAAAAAAGCAACAATAATAGCAATACATGGTTCTAGAAAATATAAAATAAAAATCCTGGTAGCTAGTCAAGGACTTGTACATTTTTTTTGTTTGTTTTTCTCTGACATATTTTGACACAGTGGAGAATATGACTGGGAAGGCTCTTACTATTTCATCTGCTGGAAAGGCTGATCTTTGCAAAAGCCACATGGTTTAGAATAAATCTTTTTATATTAAGTGACTCACAGATAGTAAGAATCTGGTAAACATTAATGAACTGAATACAAATTGATGGCATTTCCAGAAACTTCCCCATGAAGATTGTATTATCTCCTCTAGAAGTCCTCTACTAGCATAGATATATGTCATATGTGATTATATTACAGAACACAAAGAACCTGAAAATCATGGGATGAATTGCAAAACAAGGCAATTTAATGGGGCAGGTGGAGGATTGAAAAGCAAGTCAATGTCTCATTAAGCCTTTACATATTGATTTAAAAAGTGTTGATTGCATATTTCACAGCAATACGCTGAAACATTTCTCATTTTGATAGTTTTTAATACCTTAGAGAAACAAAAAATAATTTGGAAACTTTATTTGGAGTAAAGAGCCTGAGTTTTTGTACCAGACTATCAACTATTTCTTGTGGAAGGGAAGCTGTGGGTAACTGGGAAGAAACAAATTAGGGTAACTGGAAACCTGAGGCACAGTACAATAGAAATGTGAAAAGAAAGGCTATGGATAAGGTGTGAGAAGTATTAGGTAGTGGAGCAAACATTAGCTACTTTGAGAAGTTAGTATATAGGAAAAGGAATCAGATCATTAATTTAATTTATTACATATTAAAAAATATTTTTTTCTATCTGACTATTCCTCTCATCCCAAGATCTTATTTTGGGCGGGAGGAAAGGATGAGGGATTTGGGGAAAATAAAAGTGTCTGAGCACTGTCACACAAATGTGTCAGTTTCCTGTGTGTTCTGAGGCTGAGTTACTTAAGATAAAATGGCATCTCTTTATGAAATTCTTGTGCTGTAAAATAAATTGGATTTTAACCATGAAATACTTGTTAAATAGTTTGAGCCACAAGCTTTTACAAGTCAAAGTAAATTTATTTAATTTGAGGAATTAGATAATACTCTCTTCTTTTTTATTGAGATATACTTGACATATAATATTATAGTAGTTTCAGGTATGCATGCATGCCTGCTAAGTTGCTTCAAAGAGTGTCTGACTCTGCAACTTTGTGGGTTGTACCTCACTGGGCTCCTCTGTCCTAGGGATTCTCCAGTCAAGAATACTAGAATCGGTTGCCATGCCCTCCTCTAGGGGATCTTTCCGACCCAGGGACTGAGCCTGCATCTCTTATATCTCCTGCATTGGCAAGTGGATCCATCACCATGTATAGTTATCAAATATTTTTTCTTGTGATGAGAACTTTTAAGATCTACTCTCTTAACAACTTTCAAATATGCAATACAGTATTATTAACTTTAGTTTGTGCATGTGTGCTCAGTCATGTCCGACTTTTTGTGACCCCCATGGACTGTAGCCCAACAGGATCTTCTGTCCATGGGATTTCCAGGCAAGAATACTGGGGTGGATTGCCATTTCCTCCTTTAGGTGATCTTCCAGATCCAGGGATTGAACCTGTGTCTCCTGCATTTCTGTGTCCTGGCAGGCAGATTCTTTACCACTGAGCTACATGGCAAGTCCCTTTAACTATAGTTTCTAGGTTGTAAATTACATCTCCATGACTTATTCGTGTTACAACTAGAAATTTGAACCATTTGACCCTTCCTCACCCATTTTGTTTTCAGAGGGGCAGTAGTCTTAAAGCAGGATCTTCTTTCCCTGTCCAGGGATTGAATCTAGCTGTCAGCCCACCAGGAGCTAGAGGCTAGAGGCAAAGTTCCCTGATACTTACCCCATTTGAAAGCAAAAAACTTTTCAAGGAGGCAAAAACTGTAAAACAGGTACAAAGTTTATTATTAGAGACACAGTATAATGTATGGGAGAGCACACAGAGAAAGTTTATTTCTGTCGGAAGCAGGATACACACCCCCAGAAGAGTGCAGGCATCCTGAATGAGGAGCACAGTAAAATGGTGATTTAAATTGCTGATATAGGACAGTACTTCTAGTCTTTGTTTTCATTTGGCCTATAGTTTTGTTACTTTTTTCACACCTGACCCTCCTAAATATGTGTGTGCCTCCTAAATATGAGGGTCCTTAGACCCTCCTAAATATGTGTGTGCCTTTTTGCTAAGGTGGATCCTACCACAGAGGCTGATGGATGCATGTCTACACTTACTATGGAATGGGCTCTCCTCCCTTTTTGATGTCCAAGAAGCCTTCCTTCCAATGCATGTGTAGACAGGAAAGTCTTCCTTGACCTCAGGAGTGGGCACCTTGTCCCCTTAGTATCTGGGTGAGAACAAAGCTTCAATTTTACTTCACTTGATAAACACCAGCTGTCAAGCCCAGCGGCCCATCTATCTCCTAACTCAATTTTGCCCAAACCCCCTCCACCTTTGACACTGACAGATCTGTTCTATCTATGTCCTCATTAAAAAAAAAAAAAGAATTACTATCATTTTTGTATTACACATGCAAGATCATATGGTACTTATCTTTGTCTGAATTGCTTCATTTAGCATAATTCCCTCAAGGTCCATTCATGTTACTGCTGAAGAGAAGATTTCAATCTTTTTAATAGTTGAATACTATTCCATTAGATAAATAGATATAGATACAAATATCATGTTTTTTATTCATTTATCCCTTGATGGAGACTTAGGTTATTTCCATGTCTTGGCTATTGTAAATAATTCTGCAATGAACATGGGGCTGTATATAGCCCCATGTTCATTGCAGAATTATTTCATTTTCTTTGAACAGAATACTCAGAATTAGTCATATGGTAGTTCAATTTTTTTTTTTTTTTTGATGACTCTCCATACTGTTTTCCATATTATTGCACCAATTTACATTTCCACTAAGGTGCACAAGTGTTCCTTTTTCTCCACATTTTCCTCAATACTTATTTGTTGTTTCTTTGATCATAATCATCCTGACAAGTATGAGGTGATATCTGATTTGCATTTCCCTGGCAGTGATTTTGAGCATCTTTTCATGTAACTGTTGGTAATGTATGTGATATCTTTAGAAAAATATTTCTTTAGATACCCTGCTCACTTTTAAATCACATTGTCTTTTTTTGCTATTGAGTTGTATGAGTTCTATGTATTTTGGATATTAGCCACTTACTAGACATATAATTTCAAATTATTTTCCAGGTTGCATTCTAATTTTGTTACTGGCTTCCTTTACTGTGCAGAAGCTTTTCAGTTTCAGATGGAGTCCCACTTTTTTTTTTTTTTTCTTTTTCTTCTTCTGTTACCTTTGTTTCTGGTTTCAAATCCAGAAAATCATTTCAAGAGCTTCCAGCCTGTATTTTTTTCTATGAGGTTTATGGTTTTAGGCCTTATATTAGAGTCTTCAATCCATCTTGAGTTAAGTTTTGTACATGGTGTAAAATAATGGTACCATTTCATTCTTTTGCCTGTAGTTGTTCAGTTTTCCCAACATTATTTTGTAAAGAGATTCTCCTTTCCCTACTGTATATTCTTGGCTCTTCCATTGTAAATTAGTTGACCATGCAATGCATTGGTGGAGCACTGTGGTTAAGACATGTTCTCCTGACTTTAAAGTTCAGTAGCTTTATTATTTAATGTAAGCACATAAATGAATTGTGTGATACCTCTTTAGTTTTTATAATACCTTCGTAAGCCACTGATTCATAATGCAGAGTACTGTGACTAGGCTACTTGATCTAGACTAGTGAAATATCACTTTAATACAATATTAATTTGTTTCTTAATTTGATTGATGCAGTTAAAGCAAATACCTTCTCCTCTTTGCTTGAAGTCTAGTCTTTCAAAAATGGACAACAAGCTGGATATATTCAGGAGGGAGTTGGTGGATGTTCAGGGCATCCCTCTCTTTTGGAGCATTGTTGAGGAGTGGTCCCAGGTGGAGTCATTTGAAAGTCGACCAGATGACCTTCTGATCACCACCTATCCCAAATCTGGTAAGATCTTTTCACTCATTTGTACTAGGTGATTGGTTATTGATTCACATGTGTAAGCCCAATGATGGGGAGATCACTCGACAAGGGACTATCTGGAACAGTTGTGGGACAGTTTTAAGTTACACAAAGTCACTTATTTTGAAAGGTCTGCAACTGAGTGGAGGCTATATCTTAGGGGAAATTAATGCTATTGGAATTTCTTTTTAAAGTCAAGCAAAAACAAAACTACATAGATAAAGAATTTAAGAACATTAGAATACATATGCACACATAAACTTTCTATACAAGTTAATGTTCAAATATTTTGCTTATTTTAATATTCAAACATACTTTGTAAAACAGTGTTTTGCTATTTCAAATGTACTTACTTTGTGAATATGTTTAGAAGTATTTTGACCTGAGACCAAACTAGGGTGGAGGTAATGAAGATAATGACAACCTCCTACAGAAGGTCCCTTGCACATGCTGATGCACTTAGTGCCCCTGACCTTGCAGCAGTCCAGTTAGACCTGGACATGGAACAGCAGACTGGTTCCAAATCGGAAAAGGAGTGCATCAAGGCTGTATATTGTCACCCTGCTTATTAAACTATATGAAGAATACCTCATGAGAAACGCTGGGCTGGATGAAGCACAAGCTGGAATCAAGATTGCCAGGAGAAGTATCAATAACCTCAGATATGCAGATGACACCACCCTTATGGCAGAAAGTGAAGAAGAACTAAAAAGCCTCTTGATAAAAGTGAAAGAGGAGAGTGAAAAAGTTGGCTTAAAACTCAACATTCAGAAAACTAAGATCATGGCATCTGGTCCCATCACTTCATGGCAAATAGATGGGGAAACAATGGAAACAGTGACTTTACTTTTTTGGGCTCCAAAATCACTGCAGATGGTGACTGCAGCCATGAAACTAAGAGACACTTGCTCCTTGGAAGAAATGCTATGACCAAACTAGACAGCATATTAAAAAGCAGAGACATAATTTTGCCAACAAATGTCCATCTAGTCAAAACTATGGTTTCTCCAGTAGTCATGTATGGATGTGAGAGTTGGACCGTAAAGAAAGCTAAGCACCAAAGAATTGATGCTTTTGAACTGTGGTGTTGTAGAAGACTCTTGAAAGTCCCTTGGACTGCAAGGAGATCCAACTAGTCCATCCTAAAGGAAATCAGTCTTGAATATTCATTGGAAGGACTGATGCTGAAGCTGAAACTCCAATACTTTGGCCATCTGATGTGAAGAACTAACTCACTGGAAAAGACTCTGATGTTGGTAAAGATTGAAGGCAGGAAGAGAAGGGAATGACAAAGGATGAGATGGTTGGATGACATCACCGCCATGAGTTTGAGCAAACTCTGGGAGAAAGTGAAGGACAGGGAAGCCTGGTGTGCTGAAGTCCATGAAGTCACAGAGTTGGACACAACTGAGAGACTGAACTGAACTGAACTTAGAAGTATTTTGCTCTAAATTTAAACACCTTATGACTTTAGTATACAATATCAGAAAGAAGAGTTTAATATAACTCAATAAAAATCGATAATTTTTGAACTTCGCTCGTGGTTTAGTGGTTAAGAATCTGCCTGCCAATGCAGGGGACACGAGTTCCATCCCTGGTTCTGAAAGATTACATGTGCAATGGGGCAAGTAAGCTCTTGATCCACAATTACTGAGCCCGCACTCTAGAGCCTATGTGCTGCAACTACTGATCTTGCATCCTGCAACTACTGAAGCCCACACACCTAGAACCTGTGCTCTGCAACAAGAGAAGCCACTGCAGTGAGAAGCGCATGCACCCCAACAAAGAGTGGCCCCCACAACAAAGACCCAAGATAGCTAAAAATAAAGCAAACAAATAATTTTTTAAAAAGAATCAATAACTTGTATTTCTCAAAAACATACATGACTGAATTACTTTGTGGTATACATGAAACTAGCACAATATTTTAAATCAACCATACTTCAATAAAAAATGTGTACTCCTTCAGATCTTTTTATGATAGTTTTCTACTTTATCCAGTGATAGATATATGGAAAGGTATCAGAGAGATGAGGCTCTCTTGCCTTTTACCCAGTTAATTTAGTTGTACTCATAATCAGCCAACTGTCCTAATTACAGAACTCTAAAATCAACTTTCCTTTATATTTCTGCTTCATTTCTTAAAAGAATCGAGGAAAATAAATTTTTAATAAGTATATTGACTACTGATTTTTTTTTAAGATTATATATATTAAAACTACCTCAAAGCAATATGTTACAAGTCCTAGGAGGAAAGCCCTGCAAAGCTTGGGGGATTCTAATGTGCCAAAATTACAAACATAGAATGAGAATATAGGGCTCCTACTAGGAAGTAAACAAATGCTTTATGCAGACCTTCAATGACATTAAAAATATGTTTCTTTTGGCAAAAGCTTGCTTTTCCTTTCTCTTGCCACTATTATAGAAAAGAGCTATACACCAAGCTCAAATTGTTTAGGACCAAATCTACTTTACATTTCTTTGTTGAAGTATAAACTTAGGAAAGGAAATATAGTCACTGAGAATGTATGTGTTCTTTTGTTTCTGCTTTTTTTTGGATATATTCACAAGCAGCAATACATTAAGCCAACCTTTGTTTTGTTTTATTTTTAATTTTTATTGGAGTGTAGCTGATTTACAATGTTGTGTTAGTTTCAGATATATAGCACAGTGAATCAATTATACATATACGCACTCTTTTTTTAGATTCTTCTTCCATATAGATCATTACTTATTGTGCATATATCAATCCCAATAACCCAATTTATCCCTCACTCCCCCTCTTCTCCCTAGTAACCATAAGTTTGTTTTTTACATTTGTGATCCTATTTCTGTTTTGTAAATAAGCTCATTTGTACTGTTTTTTGTTGTTTGTTGTTGTTTAGATTCCATATATAAGTGATAACATATGGTATCTGTCTTTGTCTGGCTTACTTAACTCAGTATGTCAGTCTCTAGGTCTATCCATGTTGCTGTAAATTGAATTATTTCATTGTTTTTATATGGCTAGCCCATAGTCCACTGTGTATATGTACTACATCTTCTTTATCCACTTCTCAGTTGATGGACATTTAGGTTGTTGTATATATGTACTACAGTAGGGATAGTCCATTGTATTAGACCACTAGTGCTCCCCAGGTGGTGCTAGTGGTAAAGAACCTGCCTGCCAATGCAGGAGACATAAAAGATGTGGGTTTGATCCCTGGGTCAGAAAGACCCCCTGGAGGAGGGCATGACAATCCATTCCAGTATTCTTGCCTGGAGAATCCCATGGACAGAAGAGCCTGGCAGGCTATACACAGTAGAGTTGCACAGAGTTGGACATGACTAAAGCAACTTAGCATGCACACATATATGTGCTACATAGTCCAATGGCATAGTAGTCCATTGTATATATGTACTACACCTTCTTTATCCATTCTTCTGTTGATGAACATTTAGGTTGCTTTTATGTTCTGGCTATTGTAAACACAGTCCTGCAATGAACATTAGCTGCATGTATCTGTTCTGATTATAATTTTCTCTGGATATACTGGACAAATATATATACTGCAGAAATGTAGATCAGTGGAATAGAATAGAAAGCCCAGAGACACACCAACACACCTGTGGTCACCTAATCTATGACAAAGGAAGAAAGAATATACAATGGAGAAAAGATAGTTTTTTCAATAAATGGTTATGGGAAAACTGAAAAATTACATGTAAACAAATGAAATTATACCACACAATAACATAAACTCAAAATGGATTAAAGACCTAAATGTGAGGCTGGATACTATAAAACTCTTTTAGGTAAATAGGCAGAACACTCTCAGACATAAATTTTAGTAGGATCTTTTCTGATTCATCTCTTAGAATAACAAAAATAAAAACAAAAATAAACAAATGGAACCTGATTAAACTGGAAAGCATTTGCACAGCAAAGGAAAATATCAACAAAATGAAAAGATAGCCCTCACAATGAGAGAAAATACAGTATTTACAAAAGAAACAACCAACAAGGGATTAATCTCCAAAATATGCAAACAGCTCATGCAGCTCAAAATCAGAAAAACAAACACCCAACCATTTGTTAATTTTTGCTTTTATTTCCATTACTCAAGGAGGTGTATCAAAAATGATCTTGCTGAAATCTATGTCTGAGAAAGTTCTACTTATGTATTCCTTTAAGAGTTTTAAAGTATCCAGCCTTACATTTAGGTCTTCAATCCATTTAAAATTTATTTTTGTATATGGTGTTAAGGGGGCTTCCCTGGTGGCTCAGTGGTTAAAAAAAAAAAAAAAAATCTTCCTGCCAATGAAGGAGACACAGATTCAATTCCTGGTTCTGGAAGATCTGCTTGAGAAGGAAATGGCAACCCATTCCAATATTCTTGCCTGGGAAATCCCACAGAGAGAGGAACCTGGCAGGCTACAGTCCATGGGGCCTGGTGGGCTACAGTCCATCACAAAGAGTTGGACATGACTTAGCAACTAAACAGCAATAACAAATGGTATTTGGGAGCATTCTAAAGACAATTTTTGGAAGCTACCATTATTCGAATAGTTCATCTATGAAAGTAAACCTTGAAGGTGAACTTCTTCTGGCAGAGTAAAAACTAAATGGCTTCACATAAATTAATCCTATGCTCTTTATTCCTGTTATTTTCTTTTTAGTTTGTTGCCCTCACAATTTATTGAGATTATGTCTTAAAATTACTAATATATCAGTGCCCTGTTGATTTTTCTATAAAAAGATTCAAGTTAATGAACTCATTAATGAGTTAAACCATGTGCTATTTTTTTCAAATATTGTGGAAAGTAAACATTTACAGTTCAAACCATAAATTGGCATCTTTTTCAATCAGACTTCATTGGCCACCATTTGAACCACTCACTGATAGCAAATAAAATGTGCTATATTGTACTTTGGCATTTAGGTCTCTTTTCCTCCTCCTCATGAATCATCACTTAAGCCAAAACCAATTGCTGTCATTTAGTCACTAAGTTGTGTCTGACTCTTTGCAACCCCATGGAGCATAGGCCACCAGGCTTCTCTGTCCATGGGCTTTCCCAGGAAAGAATACTGCAGTGAGTTGCCACTTCCTTCTCCAGGGGATCTTCTTGACAGAAGAATCAAACCTGCATCTCCTGCAATATCAGGCAGATTGTTTACCACTGAGCCATCAGGGAAGCCCAAGCGGAAATCAGACCAAGCAACAAAATGTTCAAGGGTAATAATGATTTGACTCATCTTTTTCTTAGTACCGTAATTGTCTATGTGGAAGGATGGAGGAGAGAGACTCATGCTCATGATGTAGGAACAAGGAAGAGGAAGAGTTGTCCACAAGAAAGGACTGAATAGTAAGGGAGTCTAAGGTACTCTAATACCTGGAACCAATCCAAAGTTGCATCTACAGATAGATCATTCTACAGAAATGCTGTGTGTACAGATCAGTTATTTAATTTGTATATGTAGTTTCTATCCATGATTATGCAACTTAGAGACTGTCATTACACACTGGGTAAAGAGGAAGAGGATAGAAACAATTAGTAAGGTATTTTTCTCCTAGGTACTACGATGTTTGTTTTGTTTGTCTGTTTAGCAGTGCCTCAATACCCTGATCATTGAGTGCTGTAGACAATTGGGTAGACCATATTCTCATATACTTAGGTCCATTTCTCAAAAGATCAGTGAGGCACAATCTCAAAAACATCAGAGTGACCTGGTCTGCCCTGCTCATTCAGAATCTGTCGTCTTTTGTTGATGAATGACACATTGGTCTCTATGGACGCAATCATAATGTCTTCTTTGTTTCCCTTGCTCACCATTACTCCAAATATTGAACATTTTTGGCTGAAGTGCTCTTTTGTCCCAAAACCTAATAATCTTTTTATTTAAATAGGAAATATACAAATTGCTGGTAAGACTCACTAAATTTGACTTATTCCCTCATCCATTCTACCCAGGAGGATATGCTATTGCTACTTACATTCTGTCTCCTTAAAAAGTCAAGCTTAAGTCCTTTGCCTGCCTTACTTTTATGGTTATTTTAACCAGATTTGAGACATATAGACACACACACAGATGTACACAATACATATGTATATGTTCAAGATAGATACTGATATCTCCTAAGAAAAGAGATACTGATATTTCCTATCTCCTAGGAAAAAAGAATGCAAATGAAGAAAAAAAATTTTTTTTTATTACAGTGCTTCTCTGCCTCTGTTAACCCTCTCATATACTTTTTAACACAGAAGTTTTGAGTTTCTTTCATTCTTTTTTCCTCAGGAACAACCTGGATTAGTGAAATATTGGATTTGATCTATAACAATGGGAATGTGGAGAAATGTAAACGAGATGCAATATACAAACGAGTGCCATTCATGGAATTAATAATTCCAAGACTTACAAATGGTAATTGCTCTTAATGTTCCTTTTCTGCATGGGATTAAATCCCCCCTTTTTTGTTGTGTTTGAAAGTGTTGTGATGGAAAATGATAGAGACAGAGCTTGTGCAGTTGAATCATAAGTGTCTACAATAAAAGAGTAAGAATCTGGCTATGCCGATACCCATATTATAGTCAACTTCCACCCAAAGATAATATCTACATATGAGGAAATTTTAATGAGTATATTTTTTTCTGAATAGGACACATAGAAGCTTTCAACATTTAAATAATGCATGATCATCATATGTAGAAAATTCAGTGTTTGATTTATTATAGAATCATGTCTACTATTATGTAGCTGATGTTTACAGACCCAAAGAAAATGATGATGGGAATATGTGGTTTTGTGTTATTAAAATATTTAAAATTAGCCATGGATCTCATGACTTAATTTGATTTTAGGATTTGAATATAAAAAAGCTGGAAAGATATATTGAAGTACTGCAGTTCAACTTCCCCATGTACTCTAATACCTGGAACCAATCCAAAGTTGCATCTACAGATAGATCATTCTACAGAAATGCTGTGTGTACAGATCAGTTATTTAATTTGTATATGTAGTTTCTATCCATGATTATGCAACTTAGAGACTGTCATTACACACTGGGTAAAGAGGAAGAGGATAGAAACAATTAGTAAGGTATTTTTCTCCTAGGTACTACGATGTTTGTTTTGTTTGTCTGTTTAGCAGTGCCTCAATACCCTGATCATTGAGTGCTGTAGACAATTGGGTAGACCATATTCTCATATACTTAGGTCCATTTCTCAAAAGATCAGTGAGGCACAATCTCAAAAACATCAGAGTGACCTGGTCTGCCCTGCTCATTCAGAATCTGTCGTCTTTTGTTGATGAATGACACATTGGTCTCTATGGACGCAATCATAATGTCTTCTTTGTTTCCCTTGCTCACCATTACTCCAAATATTGAACATTTTTGGCTGAAGTGCTCTTTTGTCCCAAAACCTAATAATCTTTTTATTTAAATAGGAAATATACAAATTGCTGGTAAGACTCACTAAATTTGACTTATTCCCTCATCTATTCTACCCAGGAGGATACGCTATTGCTACTTACATTCTGTCTCCTTAAAAAGTCAAGCTTAAGTCCTTTGCCTGCCTTACTTTTATGGTTATTTTAACCAGATTTGAGACATATAGACACACACACAGATGTACACAATACATATGTATATGTTCAAGATAGATACTGATATCTCCTAAGAAAAGAGATACTGATATTTCCTATCTCCTAGGAAAAAAGAATGCAAATGAAGAAAAAAAATTTTTTTTTATTACAGTGCTTCTCTGCCTCTGTTAACCCTCTCATATACTTTTTAACACAGAAGTTTTGAGTTTCTTTCATTCTTTTTTCCTCAGGAACAACCTGGATTAGTGAAATATTGGATTTGATCTATAACAATGGGAATGTGGAGAAATGTAAACGAGATGCAATATACAAACGAGTGCCTTTCATGGAATTAATAATTCCAAGACTTACAAATGGTAATTGCTCTTAATGTTCCTTTTCTGCATGGGATTAAATCCCCCCTTTTTTGTGATGTTTGAAAGTGTTGTGATGGAAAATGATAGAGACAGAGCTTGTGCAGTTGAATCATAAGTGTCTACAATAAAAGAGTAAGAATCTGGCTATGCCGATACCCATATTATAGTCAACTTCCACCCAAAGATAATATCTACATATGAGGAAATTTTAATGAGTATATTTTTTTCTGAATAGGACACACAGAAGCTTTCAACATTTAAATAATGCATGATCATCATATGTAGAAAATTCAGTGTTTGATTTATTATAGAATCATGTCTACTATTATGTAGCTGATGTTTACAGACCCAAAGAAAATGATGATGGGAATATGTGGTTTTGTGTTATTAAAATATTTAAAATTAGCCATGGATCTCATGACTTAATTTGATTTTAGGATTTGAATATAAAAAAGCTGGAAAGATATATTGAAGTCCTGCAGTTCAACTTCCCCATACTGTAAATAGGAAAAAGAGGAAGATAAATGAAGGAAAAACTTGGACAATTTGCACTTGACTTACTGCCTCAGCAAGCTTTTTATCTGAGGATTTATAGACATTTATAAAGATAATAAGCCCCATTATTTATAAATAAAAAATCCTAGCTCACCAGAATTTATCAGTTTTTACCTTATTGTGGATCTCAGAAGTATATGAGGACATGTAGTCATATATCCATTTCAAGTCACATAGTGGAGTTAATGTTTACATAGTCTTAGGTTATATTTTAATTAACCTTTAAGATTCCATATTTAAAATGTAGTTTAACTTTTATGCTTGCAGGTGTTGAGAACTTGAATGACATGCAGTCTCCTCGATTAGTGAAAACACACCTACCTGTTCAACTTCTCCCTTCTTCATTTTGGAAAAATAACTGCAAGGTAGCAAATTTTTTAAAAAGCAAACTTTATGTTGTGATTACTTTTACTAGTTATGCAGAAATTAAGATGGGGAATTGCAATCCATGGATAAATCATTGAAAAAATAATAATTTTGTCCGTATATCCCCAGGATCAAAATAATACCACAGGACACAAATGCTATAGATAAAGGATTATTCTCAGTGCCCAAACACTGAGAATCACTCAGGCTTTCTCTTCTCTAAAATGTCTTCTTGTCTAAATCCCTTCACTCATCGCTTTTAAACAATGGATGCTTAAATACCCAGAACTCCTTCGTTAACTCAGTATAATTTTAATTTACCAATATGAACTTATATACAATTTATAACATACAGTATGTTATAATTTATAACATTTCCCTGATGGCCCAGTGGTAAAGAATCCATCTGCCAAGTAGGAAAGGGAGGCTGGATCCCTGGGTTGAGAAAATCCCCTGGAGAAGGATATGGCTTCAGTAATTTTGCAGGGGAAATCCCATGGAGAGAGGGGCCTAGTGGGCTGCAATCCATGGGGTGGCAGAAGAACTGGACATAACTTAGTGACTANTTGAGAAAATCCCCTGGAGAAGGATATGGCTTCAGTAATTTTGCAGGGGAAATCCCATGGAGAGAGGGGCCTAGTGGGCTGCAATCCATGGGGTGGCAGAAGAACTGGACATAACTTAGTGACTACAGTCTATGAGGTTGCAAAAGAGCTGGACATGACTTACAAAAACAGACTTGTTGTAACAACAACAATGGACTTGTTTCAAGCTACCTTTTTAATAAGCATTTAAATTCATGTAATGTTTAAAGTAGCAAGTACATAAATACTAAGGATATGGATTGATGAGTTTTCACAAAGTGAGCATACCCACAAAATTAGACCCCAGAACTGAGAGGGTAACAGGCAGGAAGGCCAGGGGTCTCCAAACGGAGGAAAGAGGCTGCAAGTGCCAGACATTTTTTATCTCTCTAAAGTGGCAGGAGGAAACAAACCAGCAATATTTTTTCTTCTCTATACAAATTTAAAAGGAGGTTTCTCTTAAAATGCTGTGTTGCCATGACACCTGGTTTCACCTGAAGCTAACTATTCTCAAACCTTGAGTTAACCAATGCATTTTTTTCTTATGGAAATGTTTGTCTTAAGCTATGTTAATGTACNCTTTATACTTTAATAAAACTTTATTACAGAAAAGCTCTGAGTGGTCCAGCCTCATCTCTGGCCCCGGATAGAATTCGTCTCCTCCAGAGGCCAAGAATCCTGGCGTCTTATCGTTCAGCAACAACCTTTCAGAACAAGAAATTGACCAAGGAATTGAATGAGGAATAAAACCCAGTAAAGCTCTATTCCTGTGCACTTCCAGACAGAAATCCCCATTTGCAGAGATAATCAATATTTGTGAATGTTTTCATCATAAGGTGATTTGCCTGTTTTTCCTGTAAATTTATTCTCCTGAATGTTTAGCTTATTTCATTTAATGTAATATCTGTGGGATCAATTCTTACCATGCTTGCTATTTTGCTTTTGTCTTGGTTTCCTTAATATAGATCTGTTTACATCATAAATTGTGGTATTATGAGCAAAAGTAGCTCACTAGAGAGGCAAATTCTCAGGCCCAAATCCAACCTACTGAATCAGAAAATATGGGCTTGGGGTCCAGCAATCTGAGTTTTAAAAAGGCCTCCAAGCATATTTGGTTCATATTAACATTTGAGAACCACTCATGTTAGGCATTCCAATATGTGCATGTCAATATTCCACAAATTACTTATTCATGGTATAATTGATGGACAGTTGGGTTGTTGTTTATTGTCAGTAATAAAAATAGTTCTGCAGTGCACATTCTTATGCAAGTATTAAATAGCACATATATGTATACATTTCCCTTAGTTACATACCTTAGGATAAAACTGCATCTTAACGTGTGCATTTGTCCAGCTTTAGAAAAAATTTTCCAATTTCTTTTCAAAGCATATGCACTCATGTACACTTTGATCAACAGTATATGAGTCAAAGTTCTCCATGTCCTCATCAATCCAAAATATAGCTAAAAATATTTACTTTTAGCCATACTGGTAAATGGTGGCAAACTGGTGGCATCTCATTGTGGTTTTATTTTGTATTTCCCTAATGATTAATTCTTTCAAGCAACTTTACATAGCTTAGATATCACCCTTTCTGAGGTATGTGTACAGATCCTTTCCCTTTTTCTATAGGGGCTTCTTTCTTTTTAATTATTAAGCTAGAAGTTCTCCATATAGTCTTGATACAAGTCTTTTCATAAGATAATTTCTTTATATCTTACTCCATTTTATTTTTTTTTCTTTTTAATTTTCTCAGCAATATCTTTTAAAGAAGTTTTTAATTTTGATGTTGGTGGATATATCAGTTTTTTCTGTATGATTGGAGCTTTCTGTAATTGTTTAAAATGTCATCTCCCAAATCATGAATATATTCTCCCTTCTGTTTGCCTCTAGAGGCTTTATTGCTTCAGTTACCACATTTATATAAAAATATCAGTTTAATGCCTATAACACAAGTAGTAATGTTCTTTTTAAAAAAATTTTTGATATAACAATTTTCTTTCTCTATGACTATATTATGCAAAGGTTTAAAAAGTCAAGGACCTCTGCTCCATAGAGCATATAGTCTTATAGAATACATCAAATACTGTGGAAAAGACAGATAAAATATACTCATACATATATATGTGTATATATATATATATATATATATTTATATATGAAAAAATAATTACATCTCAGCAAGGTAAGTGCCGGTACATTAAGTAACAATTCTCCGGGGCAAAGCAGTCTCTCTCTCTCTCTGGCTATGCTGCACAACTTGCAGCAACTTAGTTCCCAAACCAGGGATAGAACCCCATTCCCCCTGCAGTGGAAGCACAGCGTCCTAACCACTGGACTACAAGGGAAGTCCTGAAAGAAGTCTTATAAATGAAGGAAAATTTTGATCAACATCTTAAAGAAAAAGTAGGAGATTTTCAGATTAACAAGGTCATTTTAGAAAGAAAAGACTATATGTACATAGCCTAACATGTGAAACAGCAAGGCATGAGGCAGATTCCACAAGCAGTTTAATGTTGTTGGTGTTTAGAGCATGTCTTTATCACCGCATCTTTAATAGAATGAGCAAAACAGCTGTTGTTTTTCACCTGTAGCTTTTCTTTTGAAAAATTGATTGATTATACTTTCACTTATGTATGTGTGTTTGTGTCTACCTTTGTTTTTCATTCAAAATCTAATTAAAACAAATGTGATAAGGAAGTAAGGATATAGTTTATCATCTTAAGTCTAGAAGTAAAAACTCATAGAAGCTCCCAGAAATACCTTGGTATTAGGAGAACTGGGGAATATCACTGAGAGCCTTTTATCTACATTTCTAGCTCACAGACTTCTTTAAGGAAATAGATGTGGTGGTGATAAGAAAGCAGTTGATTCATCACCATGGTCTCTCAGTACTGAAAGAGAAAGCAATTGAGAATGTTTGCAAGTTTAATATTTTCTCAAGAAATTATATCAGCAACAGAGTCCAAACTCTAAACTTTTGAAAGGTCCCTTTCAACTCATGTCACTTCTTTTTTCCTTCTTCTAAGCCTATCCAGAATACAAGAACTACCAGTGGTATGGGATTATAAATGTTCCCATTTCCTTTCTCCATCAGTTGGAAAAGAAGAAGAAAGCTCAGATTCTATTTAGATGAAAGGAGATTTCTTCCTGAAATACATTTTTACTCAGAAATATATTTACTGCATAAGTGGCTAGGGCCTCAATGTTTTCAGGTGTGCTTTTAGGGGATAAGTAGTATTTATAAGTAGTATTTTCAGGGGATAAGTAGGCTTAATGGACTTCATAGGATTTGCCAGCAAGGCATAGCAACATCACTTTTATTGGGAAATGTGTTCCAAATGTCTGCCTTCAAACATACTTGACATCTTAATACATAAATTTTACTCCCATGGCAATCATTATAAACAGCAATGATTGTTATGTACATTGATTAAATGTACCCAAATAATAGTTTCTTTTCAATAAAATGTAAGGTGTTTTCTCAGCTTTATAAACTTGCTTCTTCCTTTCATTATTAGTTTTAACAAGTTATGCAGAGAAATATTCTAAATTTAGGAGTAAGTTTAGTTCATTCTTAAAATTCAATATTTACTGTAATTCTTATTGTACTTGGTTTTCCATGTGTTAAGAGATTTTCTTCTTTTGAAATACTAAAGACAAATCAGGGACTTGAGAGATGAGTTTTTGTGTTAATATATAGTCATATATATAGACATAGTATATCTATGTCAGAATATAAATATAAAGCTTAGGTTGTGATTTAAAAAAGGAGAATAAACATTCTGCCAGGGTAAGTGAAAAAACACAAATGATTAAAGAATATAAATGAAATGATGATTTTCCCTATCTCCCCACAGATGGTCTATGTGGCATGGAATGCTAAAGATGTAGCCGTGTCTTACTATTATTTTTACCAGATGGCAAAAATGCATCCAGATCCTGGTACCTGGGAGGAATTCCTAGATAAATTCATGACTGGAAAGGGTGAGTCTAAATCTTATTTTAATGATAGAGTTCTGTTGTGAAAACACTTTTTACAAGGAGATATAAGGTGTAAATACAAGTCTTGTATTTATTATAAACGTAATATGTGCCCAACATTCTACTAGTGTATGAGGAAGATAGGCGAAGCAGAAGATGTAAAACATATGGTCTCTTCACTTTAAGGACTTTTGGGGAATATGAGATTTACAGAGTCTTCAATCCTAAGTCTGTTTTGTTACTGCTTAGTGACCACTGATAAGCACTTTCTTATTGTCCCTCCCCTTGTATTGTTCTGATTTTGTACATATCTTTTGGACGTTCTTTTCTCTACCATTCCTCCATTTTTATTATATAAACTCGAAATTCTTGAGTGAAAATTTTATACTCAAGTCTTTGTTCTACTACAGAGCCTCTTTTAGGAAACATACTCAATGCCTATGGTAGTAACTCTATGCTTCTTCCACATCCCATTCTTAACCTCTCAATCCCTCTCTTTTCTCTCTCTCTCCCTCTCCTATGAACTTCAATACCACTTACCTTCTGTGCTACTTAGTATCTGCCATCTTGCTCTTGTAATTTTAGTTTTATTTATTTGTAGCTGTATTTTTTTTTTTTTTTGCTAGGCCTGTCATAGCAAAGTACCACAGACTGAATGGCTTAAACAACACACATTTATTTTCTCACAGTTCTGGAGGTTAGACGTCCAAGATAAAGGTGTACTCAGGGTTGACTTCTGAGGCTTTTCTTCTTGTCTTGTAGGTGGCCATCTTCTACCTATATCTTCATATGGTCTCATTGTACGTGTCTGTTGCAATTTCCTCATGACCTCTGAACCTCGTTTAGGGTCATCCTTGAAGAAACAAGCATGTTCACAGCCACACGGCTCTATTGGTCTTTTTCTTGCCTGTAGGGACCCAGAAGTCTAATAGTCTTCCACATTTCATTCTACCACTGTCCCTTCAGTTCACACTGGCAGTGTTTTCACTAAGATAACTAACTGTATCTTTAAGTCACACATCAAACCTCTTTGATGAATGCTGCCAGTCACAGCCTTGGTGTTTTTTCCAGAACATGCTTTCTCAGATATTTTAGGGTCATCCTTGAAGAAACAAGCATGTTCACAGCCACACGGCTCTATTGGTCTTTTTCTTGCCTGTAGGGACCCAGAAGTCTAATAGTCTTCCACATTTCATTCTGCCACTGTCCCTTCAGTTCACACTGGCAGTGTTTTCACTAAGATAACTAACTGTATCTTTAAGTCACACATCAAACCTCTTTGATGAATGCTGCCAGTCACAGCCTTGGTGTTTTTTCCAGAACATGCTTTCTCAGATATTTTTGCAATATGGATAAGCTGAGAATTTCCTAAATCTTCAATTTCTAGTTCCTTTTTGCTTAATAACTACTTCTTCAGTTTATTTCCAAAATAAGCTGTAGCCTGAAGTACTAGGGATCAGGACTTCAACATAAGAATTTTAGGGGACACAATTCATCATGTAACAGAAGTATTTCATCCTTTCCAAGATCATAAGTTGGGTGAGAACAGCAGTTATTTGATATATTTCTCTTATCCTACCACCCCTCATTCCTGAACTAATAAGTAATCATCCTGTATTGTGTGATGATGACAAGGAATAATGTTTTTTACTTCATGTAATAACAGCTCTTTACTTCATGTAAATATTTTAATTATGTGACCATTTCGTGTCTCAATTTAGTGGCTTTTGGTTCTTGGTATGACCATGTTAAGGGCTGGTGGGAGAAGAAAAAAGATTATTGCATACTTTATCTGTTCTACGAAGACATGAAAAAGGTAAGAGCAAACTACAATTTATTCATTTTTAAGGAAACCTAATATTCATCTTTGTATCATGCTTTCTTTTCTTTCTGATCTATAAAAGCTTTTAGCTCAGAGGTTAAAGCATCTGCCTACAATGCAGGAGACCCGGGTTCGATCCCTGGGTACGGACGATCACCGGGAGAAGGAAATGGCAACCCACTCCAGTATTCTTGCCTGGAGAATCCCATGGAGGGAGGAGCCTGGTAGGCTACAGTCCACGGGGTTGCAGAGTCGGACACGACTGAGTGACTTCATTTTCACTTATGAGTAATTTATGTGTGCTGAGTCACTTCAGTCTTGTTGGACTCTTTGAGACCCTACAGACTAGAACCGTTCAGGAACTAGACCACTGAGGTATGATCTAAATCAAATCCCTTACAATTATACAGTGGAAGTGACAAGCAGATTCAAAGGATTAGATCTGATAGACAGAGTGCCTGAAGAACTATGGACGGAGGTTCATGACATTGTACAGGAGGCAGTGATCAAGAACATCCCCAAAGAAAGCAATGAAAAAAGGCAAAATGGTTGTCTGAGGAGGCCTTACAAATAGCTGTGAAAAGAAGTGAAAGGCAAAGGAGAAAAGGAAAGATATACCCATTTGAATGCAGAGTTCCAAAGAATAGCAAGGAGAGACCAGATAGCCTTCCTCAGCAATCAATGCAAAGAAATAGAGGAAAACAATAGAATGGGACAGACTTAGAGATCTCTTCAAGAAAATTAGAGATACCAAGGGAACATTTCATGCAAAGATGGGTACAATAAAGGACAGAAATTGTATGGACATAACAGAAGCAGAAGATATTAAGAAGAGGTGGCAAGAATAAATAGAAGTATACAAAAAAGACCTTCATGACTCAGATAACCATGATGGTGTGATCACTCACCTAGAACCAGACAACCTGGAATGCAAAGTCAAGTGGGCCCTAGAAACCATCACTACGAACAAAGGGGAGGTGATGGGATTCTAGTAGAGCTATTTCATATCCTAAAAGATGATGCTGTGAAAGTGCTGCACTCAATATGCCAGCAATTCTGGAAAACTCGGCAGCGGCCACAGGACTGGAAAAGTCAGTTTTCATCCCAGTCCCAAAGAAAGGCAATGCCAAAGAATGCTCAAACTCCT